CCCCCCCTCCCTCAGTGAAGGCCACATCTGTTGCCTCTGCCTCCATTCATTCAGCCCCAAGCCACCCGAGAAGTATGAATGGGCATGTGGAGCTGGAGTTGAATGCAGCCAAGAGTTTTTGTGCAGGGCTGAAGGTAACTATATTCATAAGTAGTTATCTTAACTTACTTGGATATATTGAAATTCATAAACCTTTAAGAACACAAATAAAATATTATTGGTGTGTTATGACCAAGTATCTTCTGCTTTCAGTCTTCCATTATCGCCAGTAACCATTTTTCAGGCTAAGAACATTTTCAGAAGGTAAAGAAAAATATCGGTTGTTCTTGCACTTCATATGAGCTGAATAGATAACAAAACAATGCAATTATCAAAGCATAAACTAATTTTCCTATCATTTTTTAGCTGATTACAGTCTGCTTTACAATCCACCCTGGTCTCAGAATGAGTTTCCTGTGGAGAAAATTTAGAATTTCGAGGATTAAGGCCTAATAAAAAGTTATTTTTTTTTTTTTAAATGAAGAAAGCCTGCAATGTCATGAAAATGTACACACATATACATAATCACTGCAACCCACATTACCACAATAAAAATGCTAATCACTTACAAAAGGTGGAAATGGACTTTAAATGAAGACACCTAGGGACAGGAAGTGTGCATTTCACAAGACTACCAAGTGAAAATAAAAAGAACAAAGCCAGGAAAAAAAAAAAGAACTATTTAAGCCATCGGATCTAACAACTGGTAAGCTGCAATAGAAAAAGATATTAGATAAGCTTTATGTAGCCCTTTTAATGCATATACTGTATGCCAACAGCAAATAAAATACTATTTTCTGCATTATACAACAACATTTAAGACCAGTATGAGTTCTATCTCAAGCCAGGATTACTGCAGGTTGCTTGCAGAAATTGGCGGCAAGGGTATAGCCAAGGCACAAGACAATATTTAGATTTGGTGTATGGTGTTCCAGTTCTTTTCACATCAGATTACTTACAAAGTTTGGTTTCTCATTGGTAACTTTATAGTAAAAAACAGATTTACCAGCTAACGTCTCATAATACTGTTATGAAGAAAGGTATAGCAAAATAAAACACACACTGCAGTATGTATAGGCATAGATACTTGAGTCCTCTGAAGGAAGATGAGAACTCCAGGGCAGGCAGGGTGCTCACCCTATACAGTGTAAAGATCTAAATGTTCAAAATACTCCTTGTCTTTTTACCAGATTTAGAAAAATGTGTTGAGAGCACACCATTACCATTCATTAGTGCAAAGCATTTAAATTTCAACATTTAACCCCTTAGTGACAGCTTCAGAAAATGTTTCCGTTCCTGGGAAACGGAGCAATTTTGACTGTTTGTTTAACCATAATTTCCATCTTCCTCATTCATTGCACCTACACATGTTATATACAGTTTTTAAAGAACAAAATGGGCTTTAATTTGATGTAATATAAGCATATATAATTTTAAAAAAAATAAAATGGAAACATTTTTCACAGTTCTGGCAATAATAATGTGTACATAATTAATGTAGCTAACAGAAAGTTAGCAACATTTCTTTTATTTGTCCTGATTTAAAGGGTATATCATATGTCTGGGATTTCAGTTTATTTCAGGAGTTAAAAAAAATAGTTAAAGGTGTGACATTTTTTTAGAAATGTTAACAGTTTTTTTAGTATTTACAGGGGCTTTTTGTACTAAGTATTCTGAGGAGATACTGTCTTCTCCTCAGAGATGCTCTGTATCACTTTTGTAATACACTAAGCCGACTTTCAGCTCCACAACACATTGTACCGCATGATGGGATTATTCCGTCACCGGACATTAAAGGAGAACCATGAGGTGAGTGCTTTTCACTCGCCTCATAGTTCTAGCCGACCTGTGACAATGAGACTGTCACAGGTCGGCTCAATAGATCGGAAGGTGAGCGAACACATAGCGGCGTTTGCTCACCTTTCGATCCGGTCACAGCTCTCTGCCGTGACAGGGGAGGGGCTGGATTCCCCCTCCCTGTTGCGATCCGCCAGTGCTGACTGGCGGATCGGACGGGGGAGGGGTGAGTACAGCTGGCTCTGCCTCTAGATAGGCAGAGCCAGCTGTCACTCACGCAGCTGGGCGGATCCAGACATAATTTTTGGGATCCACTTCGGCGTCTCCGTATACCGCGAGCAGCTCGCGGTATTCTGAGCTTAGGGTGACGGGAGAATGCTAGTTTGTGTCCTCCCGTTACCCTAAGGAGAACTATGGGGAAAAGCTGAAATCAGTTAAAAAATTAATCCTT